GTATGAGAGATATGGGGAGAAGCTGGAAAGACAGAAGCCGCATCATAAGTGAGGGGAAGGGAGCAATCCTGGCGGAGCAGAGTGAGCCAGGAGTACTTGGGCCATCACAGAAGACAGAGTGAGAGAAAACCATGTCCTTAAAGTGAAGAAGGCCTAAAAATGAAGGGTTTTTGCCAACTTTTCACCATTTTGACAAAAGCATAAATAAAAGACCAGCTTTTTGGTTGTTGTAGCCTTTTAGAGGCCAAGAGCACCAAGTTATGAACCAGGCACCAAGAGGTGTGTTTTCTGGAGGACAGGAAGTGGTTCCCATGACTGAATTATAAGGGAGCTGAGAGAACAATTTCACCTCAGGAACTAAGAGCTGTAGCTCCCCCAAGGAACGTGGAAGCTGTGCTTGGTCACATACAACATAAGAGATTATAATCTATTTTGAAAGTGTGTTAGGCAGAATCCCAACACCCTTTCTTCTTGGCAGGTAACCAAAGAGAGCAGGGCGGGGTCCCAGCACATAAAAATCTCCATGTTACCTCCAGCCATGTGGCCTAAGGAGCGTGGAAACTAGTAACCCTGTTTGGGGATGGCAGGATGTGTTTTCTGTCACAAGCTTGCTAAAGAACAGGAACAAACAAACAAACAAGCAAACAAAAACCAGAAGGTATCTCACCCATGTTCAGTGAGTAAGGTTGCTGCTGCATACATATTAGCAGTGGCAAGTAACCAATCCAGGAGGAAGAAAAAAGCAAAGGGACTCAAACTGGGAGGGATTCCCAGGAGACACTCAATCTGCCTTAGGGAACCAAATGATAGGATTTTTGGCGTGGTAAAAGGGAGAACACACAGTAAAAATGTCATGTGGGGGCATACATATAGTTTTCCATTGGGGTGGTGCTTAAAGGCAGCATTGCTGATGTGCAAGTAGCTGATTGGGACTCTTTTCATGTCACAGGTAAGTTGCAAAGGAGAGGGGAAAGTGACCTCAAGGTAAATGTCCCCTGGTCTCACCTCCCAGTGCTGAAATGTCCCATCTAGAGCAAAATCCTGTCAATTTATTTCTCTTAAAAAATATATTCTGCTCTTACCTCCATTGTTCCTAATTATTCATTCTTCAGTTTTAGAGAACCTAAACTCATACCCAACACAGTAGGTCAGGAGTTGCATTCCCCTATATCACTGTCTGACTGCTTATATTTCTAACTAACTAAGCTTCCCATAACATTAAGAATTGTTTATCAACTTCTCTTAGCATAATTGTAGCAAATAAAATGTACTTAATGGATATAGTGAAATATATGATTAAAATGAAAAAATAATTATCACAGTTTCTCTATCTAGCATCACCAAATATTTTCAGGTTCAAGTATGTGGAAAAATAAAAACTAAAAACAACTCTCAGCAAATACCCAGAGTATAGGGGACAGTATATCATTCACAGTATTTACCATGTTATCTGTTGATATTTTGTAGAACACAAAAGAAAAATTGAGCCACTAAATGAACAACTGTCAATTTCAATAATTGTGCTCATAGCACTACATGTTTGACAACTGTAGAAATTTTATTTTTCATACCAGGGATTGAACTCATGACCTTGTGCTTGCCTGGCTGGTCCTTGTACCACTGAGCTCAATCCCCAGCCTGAACACCTTAGATTCTAAATACGACTATTACCACTCTTTAATTTGCCATTGACGGATTTAGATTTGAAAATTTTGTTCATCTACATCTTCAAAAATGAAATTATTTTCTTTCCTTGCATTTTAAATCATTTTTTTTTAGGTACTGGGGATCAAACTCACAACCTGGCTCGTGCCAGGCAGGTACTTTTGCCTGCTGAGCTAATCTCCAGGCACCTATTAAATAATATTTTCTTAAATGTATAAATACCACTTTATCCATTCAAATAGTATTGTGATTTTACTACAGGAGGCCAAGGTAGACAGAAATTGATATACAGTAAGAGAGGAAATAGAACCTCAAAGGGATCAATGTAAAAAACTAAATACAACAATCTCTGCTAGAGGCACAGCTGAAGAAAGCCAGACCTGAAGGTGAAGATGCAGTGACCATGTCTACATGCCTCTTAAAGAGAAAAACAATAGCTTGAAATGTACTACAGTTAACACCCCCTTCCCCAGGAAGTCCAGGTAGGCATCTATTACCATACTCAATGACCAGAACACCTGGGCTATTGTTCCCACAAAATTCCTTGGCTCTTTCTGCATAGCTTTTCTGGGTGACTTGCTGCCCTTCTGACTAATATTAGTTAAGCAGCTATACACTTGTAGGTAGATTGTAGTTTGAGACCCACACTGTACTCACATTCTGACTTTGCTGTATAAATCATCCCTGACAATTGATCTGTGGGCTAAACACTGAAGACCCCTCCTGCAAAGGCAGGGCTATTCTGTCTTTTTTCCAAGAAAACTTTTTGAACTTCTTTTGATTTGTGAGTTCATTCTTCAATGCTGTGAGCCAACCAACTTGCTGATTTTGCCATCGAACCAGGTAGGATTATATTTCTCCTATTTCAACTTGCCTATCACACATCTGCTAAAGCCCATGATTCAAAGCCTTGATTTCAAGCTGCTTATTTGCTCTGAGTTTGAAATTTCCATGAAATTTTGGACCTCCTGTCTAGTAGACTGCAGATATATTGGAGGAAGGAGGTCACTATTGTGATGTAGCACAATAGGTCCCATTCATAACTGTATTTTCACTGCCTCGTGGGTAACACTTCAGGACCAGCTTTCCTCTGCAACATCATTCCATAATTCCCATTTTAGTTAAGTCAATTTTCATTCAGCTCTAATATTTTTGTTTTCCTTTAATAGTCTTTCTCCGTTCCTCAGTTTTTACATTTTTTCATATTTGTTTTTTGTTTTTAAAGACATAGTCCCACTTTGTAGTTCTGGCTGACCTTGCACTCACTATGTCGGGTAGTCTGTCCTTGAATACGTGGCCATTCTCCTGTTTCAGCCTCTTTAATGCCAGGTAAAGAGGTGGGTATCATAACACATGGTGTTTGTCTTTTTTCTTTCCTCCTTTTCACTAATATTCTTTCATTATGGTGACACTGTATTTAATCTAGGTTCTTGCTTGTGTCAGTAAACCTTTCTGGAGCTTGAGGTCAGTTTGTGAACAACAATATAGGAATCCACACAGAAAAAGGATAAATTTGGAATTTAAATAGCTGTGCTCAGAACCACTTCTCCCATTTCAAAACCTCCCCCATTTCAAAATCTAAACAAGTGATCCTGGACTGGAATGTTAAGAGTTTTTAAAAGAGAGAATCACAAAGAACATCCTATTGGAAACAATGTAGCTAGAATCTTATGTTAATTTTTGGTTGACACCTGTATCCTGTTTTTTTTTTTTTGTTGTTGTTGTTATTGTTGAGCAGGTTAAATTTTTTTCTTTGGGTACAGCTCATTTTGCTTTTCTCATTGTACTTATATGCTGAGTCATTTTCCATTTTCCTGGTTCAAATACAATGCACTAGTTAAATGTAGGGCTCAAGATTGTATGATTTATGCCAAGCTACAACACAGCTAGGATACAATGCCCAGCCTTAATATTTTCTAGGTAAAAACACACATAATATTTGACTATTTCAATATTTGTGATGTTCAGCATTATAATAAAGCCTGATCTAGAGTTATGAAAGACTAAAGTCATCAGGTCTCTTATGATTTTCCACTGGTCTTTTCTCTCATCTTCCTTAAATACTCTCTTAATTCATAATACTGGTGCCCAAATTTCACACATATTCCTAGCTGTTATGTCTCCCATTTTTGCAGTAGTGTAGTCTGTTATCCTCAGACCATAAGAGATAGAAACACGTCTTCTGATTCCCTACACTCCAATGGTGTTATGTGTTAATTTGAACAATTGTCCTTTAAGAAAATGACAATTAATGAATACATATGTATCTCATGACTGTTTCCTCATCTTTCAAACAACACCAGGAATTCTTTCTGGTGTCAGGTGCACACCTATAATCCCAGGACTTGGAATGCTAAGGTAGGATTACCAGTGTGAATTTACTGGACTAAGATGTGAGTCCACAGTCAGCCTGAACTGCATAGGGAAACCCTGTCTCAAACAAATAGGAAAAAAAAAGTATCTATTATTGCTGATATCCTTGAGAAGAACTCAATAGTTTGAAACTCTTAGGATCATACATTTTAGAATGCATCAGGTGAGTATAAAAACTGGTAAGACTATGTTTAAGGATATGGAAAACTCAAAAAATATCATATTGCAAACTCTAATACAGATTTAATGTAAGGCCCATCCAAATACTATTAGTATAGCTCACAAATATAGAGAAAACTTTTCTAAAATTCATTTGGAAACAGAAAAGATCTAGAATACCAAAGACATTCCTGGGCAACAGAGGCTAGTCAGGAGGCATCACAATTCTTCACTTGCTATACTACTAGAAAACTACTGTCACAAAATCACCAGAGTCCTGGCAGAAAAACAGACCCAATAATCTATCAAACAGACTAGAGATGGAGACACAACTACAAACACACTCTGCTACCTTGTCTTTGATAAAGGAGCCAAATATGTTCACTGGAAGAGAGATAGCCTCTTCAATAATCCTGAAGAAAATGACTTTTTCCATACTGAAGACTTAAACTGGGTCTATGCCTATCACCATGAAATAGATTAAAGTAAAACTAGCTTGGAGATCTAAATATTACAACAGAAACACTAATGAGGCTTCATGAACAAAACACAAAATTTGAAGAATCAACTTCAAAGAATTAATCACTGGGACTCCATCTTATTAAAAAATATTTGTACATCAAAAGAAATCACTAACAGAGTGAAAAGACAATGCACAGTTTGGGCAAGGGATATCTTTCCATTTTCTGATAATCTCTTCAGTATCCTTTTACAAAGTACTGTAATTTTCAATATGTAAATCCTTGACTTTCTTTGTTAGGTTCATTCTAAGTATTTCATTTTCTTGGAGGGTATTGTTAAGGGTGTGATTTCTGCACCTTTTCTCTTAGTGAGTTTACTGTATACAGGAATGCTCTTGATTTTTGATTGTCAACTTTGTTTCCAGGTACATTATTGAATTTGGTTAAGTCTAGAAGCCTTTTGGTGGAGTAATTGACATCTTCTGCATAGAATATCATGTCACCTGTGAATAATGATAGTTTACCTACTTTCTGTTATATGATTATTCTTATTTGTCTCTTATCTCTAATTGTTCTGCCTAATGATTCCAGAGCTATAATGAATAAGAGTGGTGATAGTAATCATCATTTTCTTGTTCTTAATTGTGGTGTGAAAGTTTTTAGTTTTTCACCACTTAGTATGATGCTGGGTGTATTTTTGTCTTTGCTTGTTTTATCAGAGTGAGGTAAAGGCTCTCTATTGTTACATTCTGTAGGATTTTATTAAAAATCAGTGCTTGATTTTATCAAAAGCTCATCATGCATTTGTTGAGATGATCACTATGTGACTTTTGTTTTTGTGTGTGTTGATATAATGTTTAAATTTGTTGATTTGCATGTACTGAAACATCCCTGCCTTCCTGGGATGAATCCAAGTTGTCAGGTTTTAAAATCTTCTTGATAATTTGCTACATTCACTTTGCTAGTATCTTAGTAAGGATATTTGCAACTATGTTCATTAGGCAAACTTCCCTGTGGTTTTCTTTTGCTGGTTGTGACTTTCTCTGGTATTAGTATCAGTGTGATGCTGGCTTCCAGGAAAGAGATAGGGAGAACTGCTTCTCTTTCAACTTCATTAAAGAGTAGGGGCCTTCAATTTTCTGTACATTTCTTATAAAATTCAGCAGTAAATCCCTGAAGACTTAGACTTCCATATGTTGGTCAGTTGCCTTTTTGTTGTCATTGTTTGCTTTATTTTAATGTATTTTCCAGATGGTCTTATTACGCACTGGAATGGCCTTGAGCTCACATTGTAGCCCTGGTTAGTTTCAAACTCACAACAATCCTTCTACCTCAGCCTCCCAAGTTCTGGGGTTACAGGCATGCACCACCTGGCCAGTATCCAATAAAATTTAATTAGATCTTCAGTCTCATTGACAGATACTGCATTATCTAGAATTTTTATATCTCCTTAGTCAGCTTTGGCAATTCATATGAATCTAGGAATTGATTCATTTCTATGTTATGCAACCTAGGGAAGCATGGGTTTTTGAAGTAGATACTGATGATCTTAATTTTCACACGATCTGTAGTTAGTTTAATGTTTTCATTCCTCAATGAATCGTTTTGAGTGGTTCTTTTCTTCTTTTGATGTGGTTGGCTAAAGGTTTATCAATTCTATTATTCTTTCAATGAACCAACTCTTTGATTCATTAAATCTTTTTATTGTTTTTATGTTCTGCACTGCATTACTTTCTTCTCTGATCACTATAGTTTCCTTACTTTTATTGGCTTTGAGGTTTTCATGCCATTTTTTTTCTGGAAGTGTGAGGCACAACAGTATAAATTTATTTATGCTCTTTCTATTCCCTGAAGAGAAATTTAAGTACTATTAATTTCCCACTTCAAACTGCTTTCATTGAATCCCATGAGAACCAAGGTTTGCATCTATAATTTTGTTCTGTTGTTGATACTTTCAGGTTTCTTCCTTTATTTCATCTGTGACATATTGATTGTTTGCTAGAGTGTTACTTAATTTCCATATATTTATGAAATTTTTGTACCTTCTTTTACAATTATTTCCCAATTGTATTGCACTATGGTCAGGTAAAATGCACGGGGTAAGTTCAGTTTCTTTGCATTTACTTCAGCATGTTCTGTGGACTAGTTTATGTGGCCAGTTTTAGAGAACCTCCCCTGCACAGCTGAGAAGAATGTTTATTCTGAATATGTTGGGTCACATACTTGGTAAACATCTATTCAGTTCATTTGTTCACAGATTCAGTTCTACTTTCTTATTTGTTTGCTGATTATTAGTCTTGTTCATGTGTTTGTGATAGTGGGATATTGAAGTCTCTTGGGTCAATTGTGTTATTTTTTGTTTGCATTATTTTCATGTCTTTTAACAATTGCCTTATCTTGTTGGGCGCTCTTGTATTAGATGCACACATATTTATGATTGTTATCTTATCCTTTTAAAAACTTTCCATTAACATCTATGCAGTGAGTCTCTTTATCTTTTTGGACATTCTTGGTTTTAAGTTCATATTGTCTGAAAGAGAATAGCTACTCATGCTTTTTTCTGGGCCTCTGTTGCATGGAAGATTGTTTTCTGTCCTTTGACTTTCAGTCTATGAATTACTTTTTGAATTAAACATTTTTTTCTGTATACAGCATATTTATATATCTTGTTTCTTGATCCATTTCACCCATCTATTTCTTTTGGTTAATGAGATGTGACCATTAACAATGATATGTATTGGTTTGTCTTTGTTGTAATATTGTTCTTCTGTTGATTCTCTGCTTTTCTCCACTGTTTAGTTACTTGTCCTGCCTGGTTGTTTCTCTGTTTTTCTTGTAATTTTTGTCATTTTTACCTCTCTCTAGTATAACTTTCATTACTTTTTCTACGGTCAGTTTTGCAGTCATATATTTCTCAGTTTTTCTTTGTCATGGAAGTATCTTATGTTTCCATTAATTTTGAAAGTTTTGCAGGATACACCAATCTGGATTGTATGTTCTTTCCTTTCAGGACTTGTACTTCTGTCCAACTTCAGGACTTGTTCTTCTGTTTCAACTACAGCTTTCTTCTTTACTTGGATATTTGTGTTGAGAAGACTGAGGTAGGTTCATGAACAAAAATAAAGGAATCAAAGCATACAATTGATAAACTTGGAATTTGATTAATAGAGTTAAGGACCACTCATTTAAATTATGCCAATTTCAGAGTCCAAACAAGTGGCTGAACTGGAGACTTACAAAGCTTTTAAACAGAGAACCACAAAGTTACATCCTATTGGAAACAATTGAGCTAGAATCTTACATTAATTTTTAGTTGACACCTGTATCATGTTTCTTTTGTTGAGCAGGGTAATTTTTCTCCAGGTCATGCAGCGCATTCTGCTTTTCTCACAGGACTTGTACTCTGAGTCATTTTCCATTCTTTTGGGTTAAATATAGGCCACCAGTTAAAAGAAGGGCTCAAGATGATGTTAGTTATGCCAAACTACAAAAAAGACTGCTAAGAATTTGATTTGCTTTCAATTATAAGTGATCTGTGTCTTTTCCTTAGTAGCATTTTATACTGTGTTCTTGTGCTGTATTTCTGGAATCTTGAATATTATATGTCTTGGTGTAGTTTTATTTTGGTTATGTCTGTTTGGAGTCCTATATGCTTTACTTATTTGTATGGAAAGTTCTTTATTCATGCTTGGGAAGTTTTATTCCATTATTTTTTGAAGTATTTTTTATAGTATTTGTGTTGGCCCTGGCTTTCTCATTGACCCCAATCAATCTCATGCAATTGTTCTTTGATGCATTTTGTACCTGTTGGATTGATCTCTCATAGTCTCTTGCTACTTTTAAGATAGCATTGTTTTCATGACAACTAGCTACAATTTTGTCTTCAAGATCTGAAATTCTAAACCTCTCTTTTGTTCAGTCTGTGCATATAATTTTAATCTCTTCTAGGTTTTATATATCTCTTATACAGCATTGAACTTGTTGAACTCTTGTTTGGATCTCTTTCATGTATTCCATTTCTTCGCTATGTTGGACAACCATTGTTTTTCATATGTTCATCTATTCTTTTATTTGTGTGTTCTCTAATATATTTGACTTAAAGTATGTTTTTGTATCTGAAAGTTTTTCTCTGTAAACTTTTCCACTTTTTTTCAATTCTGGGTGATTAATGCAAACAATTTTGAGAACAGGCTCTAGCTGATGGGTTGCACTGTCATGCACCACATAGGATCTAATATGCATTCTGGATAAGAAATAAACCATGTGCCTATCATCAGTGTAATCAATATAAACTGCAAAGAAGTGTATATTGTATCAGGCAAGGGGCAAATGCAGGCTCAAGAACAAAGCATCAACTGTCCTCAAGTTAAGACCTTGCTAATGGAGATTCTGGGACCAATCTTTCTATCATAGGAACATGCACATTTATACTTTGCTGTATATACAACCTAACAGAGACACATGGAGATCTCACTGTGTGCTGACTGCCCCAGATCCCCAGAAGCAGCCCACTCTTTTGGAGACAAGTGAATCCACACTGCCACTATCTGGTGATGAATGAGTCGTGAAACAGCAAAAATGAAAAGCAGGCAAAACTTCTGGAGGAGCCTTCAGTCTGGCTGCAATGTCCTGCCTTTGTAGCTCTGTTCAGATCACTGATTCTAGCAAAGTGTTCAAAACTGCTGTCTCCTCTCTGACCACAGGCTACAGTCTCAGAACTGGATACATCAGGGACAGCTGAAGGCCTGCCCCTCTGTAACTGCTGTCTCGGAGGACAAAGCCACTTGTCCTCCTTCACCTCCCTCCCCACCTCTCCCACCCAGCTTTGAAGGCTGAGCTGCTACCAGACAGTCTGGGTGGAGATGCTTAGCAGGGCCTTGAACATATATTTACCTGGCACACAGCTTCTGAGTAATATATCATTTGAAGGAAAGTTATAGTAAAAAGTGACATCTGAGAGGCAGGAATCTTGCCCTGTACATCATGACTTCAGCAACAATGTAGTAGGGATCAAAACACATAGGGTTCTTGCCACAATCCACAGCTGTTCACAACACAGAAGTCCTATTGCTGGTGGCACACGTGCTTGCCTCACACCAGCACACTGGCCTACAACCTCACTGTGCAGCTGGACTTGGGAAATCAATTCTGCTGTGATTCAGGTGAGAACACAATGGAAGCCTGGCAACTAGGTGACCAAAACAAAAGAAAAAATTGATGGTGGTCATATCCTGAGGCTGGTCACAGAGAGCAAGTCCCATTGTACACAAGTGAGCCTTGCATCTCTCTCCTGTTCAGGTGCTGTCCAGCTCTGAGGGGCCCAGGGGCTGGGCCATTAGAAGACTGACCACACTGCCACACCTTATGATATCTACCATTGCTCTTAGGACAGGAATGAAATGCATGAGCCCAGGGGGCAGGAAATTGCACGCAGACACATTTGGGCTGGGGCACACTTATTTGCCTTTATTCCAAAGTGTAGCACATATCTGAGGGTCCTGCTTCATGGTCTGGTGCACCCAGCCTTTGTTCCCTGAGCAGATACAATTCTATCCATATCATATGAGCCATTTCAAAGATACTGTATCTACCTGGATTCTGCCAGACAGGAGCACCTGCATTTGTCTCCCCACATATCCAGGAACACATGCATCACACAGGGACTCAAAGATTAGGTCAGGTCCTGGGTTGGTCCCCAGTCAGGTTGATCTTGATCCCCCAGTTCTGACCAGCATGTCCTGAGGAGAACTCTAGAGCTTAGAGCCAAGAATAGAATTCCTGGTAGCCTCAGTCCCACATTGTGAATCAAGGACAACACATTTTGCTTGTAGTTTGTTGTGGGTGACAACAAATCAGCCATACCTGTGGATACTGGATTCTCTCTTCTGGGGGAGTGCAGAGCAGCTCCCAGTCCATCCAGGGCTAGCACAAGCCCAGATGTGTGCTCTTGAGAGGAGAAGTGTGTATAAGAGGAGGATGGAGGGATACCTGGGGAAAGAGAGAATGGAAGCTGGAAGAAGAAGGCTAAGAAGTCCCTGAGCTGCACAATGGTTGGCCCTTCATTTTGTCACCCACCATACCTTTTGGCTGATGGCACCAAACTGCACCATATATTTTGGGCAGCTACACATGCAGTGTCTCCTCTTGTGGCTCCACCAAAAGGTTCAGAAAAGACTGCAGTGGACAAGGAAGGACCTGGGTAGACAATGTCAACCAGTCACACAATCTGGGTTGTGCAAATTCACTGCCAGATAGAGCCAATGTCCACTGCCACCCTGACCCAGAAATAGCAGGCCAGGAACTCCCTTGTTCAATGTAAGAGGCCCATCCTGATGCCCTCACAGGCACTGGGGTCCACACATCAGAGAAGGGCTGCCCACCTCTGCTGTTTCCACAGAACCTGCTCCTGCCCTTGTTTTGTGCCCTCCCTCATGGTGCTCAGCTCCCACATGGTGCCACACAGAGGGGCCTGTATTTTTCCATGCTACCTGGCACTGATCCTGTGCTTCAGTTTGCTGTGCACAATACCAGTTCAAGTGACTCCCCTCAGGCTCAGGGAGTAAGGGAGGCCACACTCCCAGTTATATTGCTGACACATGTGAAAGTGGGGCCAAGAGATGCTATTGCCCTGGACTTTCAGCCCTGAATGATGCCCATCAGAAGGTGGTCAGAGCAGCAAGCAGGGGAACGGCACATCTGCTGCTTGGAGAACCATGTTCCAGTCCAGGTCAGGACACCTGAGACCCTCAGTAATCTGTGCGGCACAGGGGCTGGATGGAAGTGAGGCAAATGTCATCACAGGGCTTAGGAAATGATGCCAGGGAAGAAGAATGAAACTCAGTCGCCTCTCAAAAGGTGTACTCACCAGGGGATTTGGTGAGTCATCAGTGCCATGGATCAGGGTACAGGGCATTTGGGCTTGTTCACTGTGTGTGAGATATGCCAGTCCTTGAAGGCACTTGGTAATAATGACCAAAGAGGATGAAGTTGCCTCAATGGACAATTCAGTCAAGAACAACCTGCAGCCCTCCCAGTGTACTGGTGGCCCTAAAGCAGTTAGCTGCTATGCAGGAGGAGATAGGGTTAAGCATTCATTCTTTAGGAAGGTGAGAGTTCAGGAAAATACTACTAGTAACTGCAAACACCCCTTTAAATTGTTTACTTATTTCAGATGACATCCTTAAGGTAATGAAAACCACAGAAGTCATTGTTTTAGGCTGAGGATTTCGCTCAGCAGCTTCAGCACCTGCTTAGAAAATGCAACGTTGTGAGTTTGATCCATGCTACTGAAAAAACCAAAACAAACATGAGAAATTATTTTAAACCAACCAAAAGAGCACACACACACACACACACACACACACACACACACACACACTCATCTAGAGTAAACAGTGTCTGTTACAGTCACCCTATGAAACTGGCATAGTTGTGCACAACTGAAATTCCCATACTATAGGAATCTGAGACAGGAACATCAGAAGTTCAAGCCTAGGCTGAAGAATATGGAAAGTCAAAAAAATGGAGAGAGAGTGAGACAGAGACAGAGACAGAGATAGAAAGAGCAAGGAAGGAAGCAAGACTCAAGACTCATAAGGCCATGAGTTCAATCCCCAGTGAGCGAGAGAGAGAGATAGATAGAGAGAGAGAAGAAGTTAAACAGAAAAAAGCCATGCACACATTATAATATCAAGTTCTCTACTCAGAAGTGTTCTAATCCACCATTTGTTTAGTTTAATTTTGTCTTTTTGAAACAAGGTCTCACTTTGCAGTTCAGGCTAGACTTGAGCTCACTGTGTAGCCTAGGTTGGTCTCAAACTTTCAAGAATCCTGACTCAGCTTCTTGAGTGCTGCGATTACATGTGTGCACCACCATGCCCTGCTTCCACTATTTTTTAAAACACAGGCTTCAGAAAGGTTTGCTAGAGGGAGACACAAAATGCACTCAACCTTGGAATGTGGGTGCTCAAACAGATAAGTCACCTAATCCACCACTTTTGATGCACAGTGCACAATGCAGCATGATCTATAATGTGATTCCAGGAGAACAGGAAAGTGTCTCCCTCTAGAAGTGAGGACCAGTCCTCCCCATATGGGTGTG